GTCTATGATGACAGATAAACGATTGTCACATTTAAACCCCACTCACACTTACCATCAAATGGTACGGTCCAATCATAGGAAGGAGAGCAGAGGCATAAGCGGACATGCTCCCCGGCATCAAGGTGATTGGAATAGCCGTTCGCTGTCTTCCGCTCTCCGCGATGCGCCGCCAGTAGCGGCGGCAGGGATTCCGCTTGTGCTTGTGAAGACTCTGCTCTATTGCGAACACGGAGGGCGAAAATTCTAACAGATGGTATGTTGTGCGCAATAATAGAGGGAATCGCCTCTACCAACGCTGCCATCGATTGCCACGCACAACTATGCGATACACTTGGCCGCGAATGCGCTATGTTGATCTGGATCTCAAAATCAACGGCACTGAACGGGTTGAGAATAGTACTGTGCTGCATCCATAGTCAGTGCATCCATGAAAGGATCGGCTTTCGCGCAGACTCACAATCCACGGCTCTAAATGCATGACGCCAAGATCTGGTGTGTAGAACGTTTCTAGCAGGTCGACCTCGAGAATGCGAAGCCTCGGGACAGAATCCACGACGTTCGTCCAGAAAGACAGGCCCATCCTCGTTCCTATGGTGAAGGATAGCCTCACGGGCGACACTCTCTGTATCAGAGATATCGATGATTCATACGGCAGGCCAGGAAAGAACGGCTGCTCTGGATCAACTTTAAATGATGAACATGACCGGCGATTGGCCAAGCGGTCAAGGCCTGTAAGTTCCCTTCAAGATGATTCAGGGCCGTCCAGCACGTCCTTAGGTCGGACTGTAGCTGGTATTGGGAGTTACCGGTAACGACAAGCTTTCGCACGTTTGGAAAGATGTGCACCAAGGTAGGTATGTGTAGCTCGCTGCAGCGGATGAAATGAAGTTCATGAACCGTTTCAAGACTTGTAAGGGTTTGTGTTTGTGGCAATGCCAATCGCGTCCGAGAGCAGGTCAACTGGACCAGCGTAAGCGCTTGCAGGTTTTCGTTTCCCGAAATACCAGAGAGAAACGCTTCGGGCTCGGCCATTTCTATTGAGGAAGATAGATAGAGTCGTTTTGATTTACTAGTCGAGTTCTGGAATACCGCCAATGCGCGATCATTGCTAGCCGTCAAGTGTATTGACAGGATATCGAGACGGAGGGAAGCAAAACTCTCCGCGACATCGGGTCGAAAGTGCAGCAGGATTTCAGCACGGGGTAAGTAAAGCGATCGCAAGTTGCGACAGCCCTCCAGGACATCTGCCAATAGCGCGCACACGCAATGGATGTCGCAAGAGGAGGTCGCGTTCGACCGTCTGGAGCTGTTGAGAACGAAAACTTCTTCTTCGATCTCTAGCTTCTGTACGTGGTGCAGACGAGAGTGAACGTCCGCTAGAAGATAGGGGCAGATTGTCAGAACGTCCCTGCTATTTCTGATGATGACACTTGAGAGGACTTGACGCATCGCAACGTGGTGGACACTTCTTGTGGTGCAGGAAAGTTGCAGGGCGTCCCTGGGTGAGAGGAATGTTACAATCACGGACAGAACATCGTCGTATAGATCGGCGATAGACAGTCGACGTGTAGACATCCCTGTATCGGCTGCTGAACATTGCGAGTCGTATGATAGAGATCGAGTCATTGATCAGGCATTCAAGATCTAGTACTTTGAGCAAGGTATCCCGGGCGCACCTTGAAGAATTTGGTAGGGCGCTGCTCGAAATAGGGTCTCCGCAGATATAGTATCGATGTCTGACTCCCTGTAAGTCTTCACTCAGAGCTCTGAGCTCCATGGCGCACTTACGCAGATGGGTTCTCTAGCCAGGGAGGTCGTCACTGCGTGCAGAGCAACATGGCATGATCGCGAGGCCAACGGCTTTAGAAGCCCCACGCTAGCCCGAGATTGCGTCCGCCTGATATGAAGACACTAATCAGGAAGAACCAGTTCTCAGAAACGCGCTCACACTCCAGCTTTGGACACGGCAATTTACTCTCACGAAAAAACCGAAGCGCTGTTCACATGATACATTGGCGCGATATGATGCAATGATATACTTCCATGTACATAGGACAGGAAGTTCCGAAGGTCAGTATCAAGTCATTACAATAAACTCCTTCAGCCCTGAAACCTGTTAGTTAGTAAGCTCTCTCACGCAAGAATAGTCCGCGCTCACGATCGAAGTCCACTGCGTGATGGTCAGAGTAGGAACAAAGTTGTGAATGAACGTAATCGGAGATTTCAGGTCTGACTGGCTTTGAGATTCGCTGCTCATTCTCATTGTGGATATACCAGTGGTTGAATGAGTATGGTGTGAAGCGCCACCTTGGCCTGTAATAACCGTATCGGGGGTACATGTGGCGGAAACCAACCGCAAATAACCTCACCGACGGAATGTTGCGGGCGATCTGCAGAGGCAGCTCGCGAAGACATTCTACCTCTTCGGCTGTACGCTGTGACAGCTCCGTGTCCGATTCGATATCTAGCCGTATCTCGAGATAAGGGGCGCCAATAAGGCTTAACATCGGCACAAGGCGATCCTGGAAAAGACATGCTCGTCATCATCCCGAACTTCATTCATAAGGATGGGACTTACGAATAACCATACTTTCAGGTCATGGGGCTCTGCTATCACGCTGAGCTCGAGAACGCGAAGCCTCGGTACGCAACGCTCGAGCTCCCCGAGAGAGAGACAATCCTTGTTCGTATCCATATACATGGACAACCTGACGGGCGATGTCCGTCGGAGCAATTCCAGGTACTTGTATGATGATTTCTGTGACACAGTTTCCCTGACAGTTAAACTGTGAACCTGACAATTGTTTGGCCAATCTGCGAGTTCACTAAGATGAAGGGCGCATAAATGGTCCAGAGCAGGCCAACAGTCCGTCGCATCGGGGACAAAGCTGCATATTGAAGTTGTGAACTCCCTCAAGTTGGGGAAAACGCGCACCAAGGTGGAGACATGAGCGCCCTTGCAGTTAGACAGCCGAAGGGTCTTGAGGGAAGGATGTGACGGTAGGGACTGTGTGCAAGACGATTTCTCCGGCCATGGCTCCGAAAAACGGTCCAAAACGCCCTTCATCTCGAGTGTCTGCAAGTTGTCCATCGCCACAATGTCCTCCAGCACGTCCTCCACCTGACACCAATCTATGTTGTGGAGGACGAGGGTACGGAGTCGGCCCGCCATCTTGGACCCGCGGAAGAATCCCAGCCGGCTCCACCCCATATACTGAAAGTCCTGAAACTCCAGCGTATGGAGACCGTCCATAGCTGCGATCGCCACGCAACCTGGCAATTCGATGTAGTCGGAAAGCGCCTCAAGCTT